AGCCTAAGGTTAATTGACTCACAATTAATATATGAAAGTAGTAGCTAATCAAGAGGCAGAAAAAAAATGATCGAAAAGGAGATTTTTAAATAAATTTAAAGACTAAGCTCGTCTGATATGAATAGCAGAATTCCATAGCAGGATACTTTGCACGGTAAAGGAGTAGTGATAGAACTCAGTTTTATAAATGGCAGTTTCTAGAATTAGATTGTTTAAGGAACGCAAATCAAAACTACCGCCAGAGAGGAACATACAATTTTGCTTTAAGTAACTAGGGGTTTTAGGATTAAAAAACACATTAAACATAAAAAAGGTTTGATGATTGTGTTGGGACTTATATAAATATATAGGTATGTTATATATTTTTTTAGTTTAATTGTGTGTTCAAAATATAATAAATTTAAAAAGTTGGTCCCCGTAACTGTTTACCTTTGATGCTAGCAGTAGGTATGTCTTCGCAGTATTGCGATACTTATTCGTTGAGCTAGGAAAGCACCAGCTCAGGGTCACCAGCACTTTTGGAATTAATTTAATTATTTTGTATTAATTTAAATCTATATAAAGTCTCATACTATCTAATATATAAAATTCTCGTGTCGCGGTGTTTGTGGTTAAACTCCTCCGAAACGGCTTGACCGATTCTCATGAAATTTGTTGTGCATATTGGGTATGTCTGAGAATCGGACAACATCTATTTTTCATCCCCCTAAATGTTAAGGGTAGTCCACCCCTAATTTTTTTTTAAATTTTTAGATAAATTTTTATTTTTTTTATTTTTTTATGATACAGCATTAAAAAATACATACAACCCCTAATTTTCACCCCTCTACGATCAACCCCTATTTTTTATTATAAATGATATACATGGCAAAACGACGTTTGCCGGATCAGCTAGTATCTCTATGTAATTAAATGTGATTCTATCCGAAAAGAACTTTGTACATTAAACATTTATGACCATTTTGTTGATGAATTTACGTAGGCTTAACAAAAACGTTTATCATATAGCACGAAAACAATAAGCGAAAAAAGGCACTAGAAATTAACGAACCATTCATAATAGGGTGTAATAAAAATTAAACGTTTTGAAAATTATAAAAAAGTAATTTATATTTTAAAAATTAAAAATTTTAACCATAAAATGCTGCTTATCATATTTTTTTAATTACCTACGTCTCAATTAGGATAGAAATTATGAATTTTTAGTTATTAAGCAATATTTACGGTATACATATAACCGTTTAATTATTATAATGAAGGGCCGTAGTGTAATTAAAATACATATTAAAACTAAATCGAATTATAATTCTAGTTAACTATACGCTATTTTTCAAAACCAGCACAACAATTTCAATCAAGGCAAAAGGTCAAAGTGTCAAACCGTTTTTAAATAAAAAAAATAAAACGAGAGACTCATCTGAATACAATGGTTATTACTGATTATTCAATTTATTAAGACCCAACGAAATTAAACACGTCACTGATTTAATAATTAGCAAAGAATTTATTCGCGATCCGTATTTATAAGATACTGATTGAAGAAAAATTTTGCACTTGATCCACCTTTTCTGACCTCATGAAAACGACATTAGAAAAATATTGTAATAGTACTTATTATTGAATCTCACAGTTTACTGTTAAAATATAATGTGTATTTGAACAATAAAATAACTAAATATTATGTGTAAAATATATTATAGAAGATGTGGTTTTGGTTAGTGATAATCAAGTAAACGACCACATTGTTAAGATCTATCGCAAATGCCGTAGAGAAGTTTCAAGGATTCCTTCGGCGATATAAGAAGTTGAAGAACAGGCTTTAGAGGAATAACAATTATATAGTCGCTCATTATGGTGATTATAAGGCGAAAAGTCACTCCTATTACAAAAGGCAGGTACGGACTAAAATTGCGTTGTAGTGTTAGTTTTGCTTAAATATGTAAGTATTTGTCAAACTCAAAAAAACTGTAGGGTACAGTTTTTTTAGTACAGCTATCTTATTTTACATGAAACAAAAAGCGTAAGGTGTCCTTCCTACACATGATAGGAGCTGTTTTGCGACAGAGATTTTCATAGTGTGAAAATTTAACGAAAATGATTATGAATGTAATTTTATTAATAAAACCAGTATTTGAATGTGGCTGCCTTTGACTGTCATCATATTGAACTTAATGACAACTAGGCGGTATTTATAATCTGTCATCGCTAAGAAACATCACACGGGAGTCGAGAAACGCTTAAAATTGTTTGTCTCTATTTCAAGTGTTAAATAAAATTATATACTGATTCACCACTTTGCAATGTATTAACTTATGGAATAAGCGAATGGATTGATACGGTATCAGCGCTTCCGCCAGTTTTAGTGTAATTATAAATCCGCTAAATTTCGCCCAGCGCCCAATCTAGCGCCTTTAACTAAGACTATTCTTGATTCAATGATGAAAAAACATGGCGATTAAAAAGAGTGGCGGAGAGTTTATTGCCAGTTCTTCTCTTCCGTTCTACGTCTTTGATTTGAGAACTGGCACTAAATGTAAAATTAGAAGCATTAATATGTATTTCTTTATTGACAAGTCATAAGTGTACAAAGTGTTACCTATATGGTTAAATGATTTTTGAATTTGAATTTCACATGTTCGAATTTAGTTTAGAGAAATGCTTTACCATATTAATACTACAAACTTTGACAGACTATTTTTATGCCATGATGTACTTTGAAATGTTTACATACGTCACCATACCCGTTTAGTGCGCAACTTTCAGCGGTAGGACTTATTTATTTATTTCAAATATTAACCCTTCGTTGCAGAAATATAATACAATTGACATAATTAAATGAAAACGAGGGCAACTGGCGGCCTTATCGCTTTCGACCGATCTCTTCCAGGCAACCTAGATAAAAATCTGTCAATTGTTTACCGCATTTGTTAATACTTGTCAAAATGCCTACTATAGGTTATAAACTTATTCCTTGGACAGTGAAGGATGAACCGTAACTAACAGCATGAAAGTGTAAAAAAAACAAAAAGAAACTTACGTATGCCAAATCATATTAGGTTTGACAAACGACAATCCTATTTAGCTCTAAGTCTTGTCTATGAATCTTACCCTTAGACTAAGAGGTTTGTAGCGCTACTATAGTATTCACGAGTAGAAAAAAGTAGACTGATTAGGTTTATTGTTTATGATATTGGGACGTTAAAGGTTACAATAAAGTATTGGGAATATCAATTATTATATTCTTATAAACATATATGTGACATCAAATTGTGATAAAAGAAACATTGTTTCATCATTTTTTAAGAAGTTTAACGTTCAATCAATATAATTTACGAATTTAAAGTGGTATTGAAAATGTTTCTGTCTGTTATAATTCAGGCTTGGGCTCGATTACAGACAATATTGTAATATCTGTGGAAGAAATGAGGCCGTTCTTTATGAGATTTAAATCTGGAATTCAAACACACCTGATGCTTAAACTATCTACATTATATACAAATAGCATGCTTAGGAAATGCGTAAAGTAACTAAAAAAATGTATTGCTAATCCATTCAAGTTTCAAACATTTGATAACTCTATTGTGAAACAAATTTTAAAATTTGTCTATGACCGTGACAACTCTTTTTGCTATAACAATGCTGTTATTTTTTTAATATTCTCAGTACGTTCGAGACATCGGAAAACGATCAGTCCTCATGAATATTCATCGTCAGTTTTTACCCGTAACGGTGACATAAAAATTTTATTGTTCTCTAAAAAAATAGACTTCAAAACAATAAAGTTCGAAACAAAAGACTTTATTTTTAGAATGTTCCGCTACTGTCTTGTTCTTAAAAGTAGGTCTAAATCCAATTTGGTTAATACTCTTGAAGTAAGCGAAAACTAGAATTAATTTATGACCCTAGCGTAGTATAACTGGGTTAATTGTATGCGGTAGCTTTTTCATAATTTTTACTATTAAAATAAATGACTATTTTGAGTAATTAAATTAAAGTAGAAAATTTTACGTTTTAACTGTGGTTTTTAGAGCGTTTAAAATCAGTGGCACTACAACCTTTTTAGGTCTGAGTCTCAGATTTCTGAACCTGTTTCATGATCATTTGTCGATCTAATAGGCAAGTAAGTGCCTGACACACGCCGTCGACTTTGGGTTTCAGGCAACCCGGTTTCTTCAAGATGTTTTCCTTCACCGTTCGAGCGAATTTTAAATGCGCACATAGAAAGACAGTCCATTGGTTCATAGCTGGGGATTGAACCTACGACCTGATGGATGAGACTCGCACGCTGAAGCTACTGCTTTTAAAGCGTTTAGTGATTGAAATAAAATGCTTGAAATTAAATCGATATTTTTATTGTTTCCAGCACACAACATATTTCTATAAAATACAAAAGGTTACAATGGTTTCCGTGAAAGAAATTTAAACTTTACACAATCTAACATGCCTTCGACAGAACTTACACCAATTATATTATTAGGGAAACAACTTATAGAAACGTACACTAAATAATAAATTAATAAAATAAATCTCTTCTATAAATAGTTACACTCTGATAGACTTACACGTAACGTTAAAATACAATTTCGAACCAAACTCTGGTTAATTTTAACGTTATCCTAATAGGTAACTTTACCGTAGTTAACATTGTACACAGCTTAAAGAAAAATCACACAAAGTGACTACAATTTGTACTTATCAAGAGACACAGTCTTCGTAAACGTTTGGTCACTTTCACCTAATTTACATTAATATTAAACTATACTTTAACACATGGTTATATAAATTACTGTTCTATAGTTTATACATTTGTGGCAAATCCTTTTTACAACTACTTATAATCTAGCCCATTCCAAAATATCTATTTAATCTACAATAGGACAATGTTGTCTTTGGTTACAGATAAGCATAATTTATATTATATTTTTATTTCTACAGCCCTACTTTAAATACACAAAAGCTCAAGTACGCACTGACTAGGGAGGAGACGGCATTTTGACGAGCTAGGCATGTTGGGCTCGACCGAGATGAATGAAAAATGCCACGCGATCGGGGCTCCGCTCACCACACTTGTTACACATAAAGGGATCATTGTATCCATGGAATCCCATATGTATTGTGTGCATAGTGAGATCGCCAAATGTAATGTCACAATACTGGCAGGTATACGCATTGTTGGCGGACGACGATGGAACTTCATTTGAAGCTTCTGATTCTGCATCTGATCCTTCAGCTTCCATTTTATTATCTTCATGTTGAAGTCTTAAGGCTGCCGGTTGCAACTTAAATGCGCGGCCTTTTCGACGATTTTTCAAAGCCGTGGTAGGGGTTAATGGTGCTGGGCGCTCTGCTGGCGGAGGCGACCCAGCTTCACTCGTTTTAGTGTTAGTTAGGTCTAAAGCACCGTTTCCTTGTGCTTGAGTGTTCGTATGAGATGTGGGCGTCTGAGGAGAGGTAGCCGGAGATTTCGCTGGCGGAGGAGACGGGTTACTCTCCGACGGGCGTTCAGAATATGACAAACGCTGTTGTAGAATCGATTGTGGTGAAATAGACTGTCTCATCTCCATTGGTTCAGACAGGTTGGGTGAAGTTCTTTGTTCAAAGTTGTTATTCGGTGGGAACAGAAAAGATGGAGGTAGTAGTGGTGGTAGGTATGGTAAATTAACGGGGAAATGACTGCCGAATAGAGAATGCGTCGGCGGTGGATGTTGCGACTGACTGTTACTACATGGTTGTTGTTCGAACATTTTCGTTAATGGCTTTTGTTTTGGCCCACGACGAGTGCCGTATACGTCGATTATTGGGAGAGGGTTGGGCGTCCCGTCTAAATTTAGCACCATAGCTGGACTGTGTTTATATTTCCGTAAATGTAGTTTCAGAGAGTGACAGTATTTTGTCGCATAGTTACAATCGGCGCAACGGTATTGGTAAATATTTGAGTGAGATTTCAGATGTGAATTAAGCATGGATTTGTTCACACAGGAATAAGAGCATTGTGAACATTGGAAGGGTTTCGATCCCAAGTGATTCCGCATATGATATTCCAAATGATGCTTATATTCCGTGACAAAAGGGCATTTTCTGCAGGTTAGCATTTTCTCAGGCTTAATGTGCTCTTTACTATGTTCCCAGAAACTCAGTTTTGTAACGGCTACAAATTCACACTGTTTGCATTTGAAAGTTTTTACTTTACCGTGAGAGTTAACAGCGGGGACTCGCAGGCCGGGTTCATCATCGAAATCATCTTCGAATCCTGAACCCTCTCTACCCTCGTCATCATTTTTGTTTTGGCCCATACCATCAAAGCCAGAATCTTGGAAGCGATCGAATGTTTTTCTTTCATGGTCTCTGTCAGGCGAAGAAGGGGTTCTTGGTGATTTCGGTGGAGTAGCGTCTGCTCTCGATATTGGTGTAGATACATGGACAGGATGAGGTAAAGTCCTTGGAGAATACGAAGCCTCGTAGCTTGGAGACGCTCCGCGTTCATCAGCAACACGATTCTCAAAACCAGGCGGGGTGAGTAAACTATAAGGCAACCCATTACGATAAGCATCCAAATGCATACCAAGATTTGCCTTTGCCTTGAGTGTCATGGTGTCGTAGAATGATGCAGGCTCTCCGCCGCTTCCGACACTTCTAGGTGAGTGTCCGTTGGAATCCTTGCTTGAAGATGAAGGTGATGCACTGTGAAAACCTTCTGAGTAGAAACCGCTAGTTTGTTCCTTCGCGAAGCTTCCGTCTTCCATTGGCTCTGATTTCTAAAACAAAAGAATGTTTTAGAGAACTAAATATTTTTTATATTTCCTTACCAGTTGTTTATGTAGTTACTTATCTTATGAGTAATTAAATAATGCGGGTCACTTGACAACTAATGAGATCTTAATTAAGCATCTAAAAACTGCCGCATTTATTTGATTTCAACGACATCGGTCTTTCTTTGAAGTGACTAATCACTTGTTATTAATTGACAAATAGCCATAAAATTATCGTTTAAAACAATGTAGAACATTTGTTGATCGTTTTTGAAGAACCTTTACTAATGATAATGTTTATTTTAAAAGAATTTCGTGGTTTCCTTTGTAATGAAATAAAATTTTGTGTTGCTCCATCCATTTTAAGCAACAGCGTTAAATGTATTTTATACCTATTATAAAAAAATAGTATCAAGAAATATTGTAGCTGTAAGAGTAGGAACATCGTACTTACAATGTTAGGAGGCTGTTGTAAAATATTGCCCCACGAAGATGTATGCGCATGCGGTGCTGGCGGCATGCCGGCGGGGGATGCACAACTTAGCATACCTGTTAACAAATAAATATAAATAAATAAACTTTTAATCAATAAATCCATCCTTATTATACATAGATATGGTTCGGCTCATAGATAGCATTTTTCATACTAAGGTATTACGATAATACCTACTGATGCTAAGACAAGATTGGAGTCATCATCTTAATACTGGCCTACATCTAGTGGTATAGGTTTAGGGATAGAATTCCTACAATGTTATATGACCTCAATTGTAGTAATAGTACTAGCATTTGAACCGAGTTAATTGACAAGAAAAATTCTCACTGGGTATTCCATTACCTACAGTAGATATGCATTATTACTAAACATCACAATAAGTATTGTACACAAAAATGTATAAGTATTATAAACAATTAAAAATATTATAAATTCTTGGAAATGTAAATATTGTATAGGCATAATTATTAAAAGTAGGTGAAATTTCGCAACCTTATATTATGTAATTGTGTTTTGCTTAAATTGCAAAATGTAGTAAAAAATAGAAAATTGCTTGATCACGTTTTCTCACTGCTTACTCATATTTAAATTATTATTTATATATTGTTTTAAAACTGTGTTAAATTTTTAGATATTTATCCTAACATACTTAAAACTCTAATTATTCACACTCGTACATATTAAAAATAGTAAATAAACAGTTTCTTACCTTCCCCTTATAATACAGCAAATATGAAACACACACAAATTGTTTTCATCAAACAGTAACTTCACTATAAAACACTACGATAGACAATTCTTTTTAAGACAAGTCAACGCGGGAGTGTCAGGAATACGTGTGATCTCAGCCACTTCTCACAATGAACTGAAAAAAATCTGTCAATTTTTATGCCCCAAACATCGATAAGTATTCTACATAGACGGCGTCGAGTTTTCTAGTGCGAGATGAAGACAGCGATACATCTATCTCGTTCTCACCCCCACAGCCTATTTTTACCAGAACCAATACGAAACGAGCTACTGTGGGTGGGGATCAAGTTATTAAGTTATTGTTTATGCGATATTAATAATAAAAAAATAAGTCAGGGCGCGCCGTTATTGTTATAAATCTAGATGTTTTGTGTTATTGCCTATAAAAGGGAACGCAGGCAAATGAGATTGTTTTCCTATTCAGTTAATACGGTAATGCGAATTTTATGTTTGTTTATTAACTATTATGTTGCTTTCACTTTTATGATTGGGAATTATCGTAAACAATTAGAGCACTTTTATTAGAAAGTGTGTTATAAAACCTATTGTATTTATAACGGAATTGATAGCCTCATAGGTATTTTACATATGTATGATTTTACGTTATGTAGTTAATTGTAAGTGTAGATATGTACTCATTCCCCTACGAGCTTTTTAACGTTGATAAAAAACGAGATCTATAAAAAGATTAAAAGGGCAGGGGCTGTGAAGGGGCGTCAAGCTTTTTAAGCGTCGAATGAGCCAATAGCAACGTCGCGTTTAAAAAAGGAATTCAACCTCAAGTAGGTTAAGTTAGTACTGAAAATTGTAATGCGAGGTGAAGCTTACTTTTCTATTTTAGATAACGAAATAATTAAGGCACAGTTATCTAGAACTGTACGCATAGTAGTGTAGTTAGTACATGTGTTTGCGTGTTGTTCCTACGAGAATGTAAGTGCGTGCTCCTATTTCACCATGCCTCCTGCTGATAGAGGACAACTTTTTTTTTTTAATTTATGTTATTATTATTACTTACTTAAGATGTCATGTGGAACATGGTTTAATGGTTGCAGCTCCTTACAAACGTTGTGTAAAAAAAAACATGACGATTAAAAAGAGTGGCGGAGAGTTTATTGCCAGTTCTTCTCTTCCGTTCTACGCCCTTGATTTGAGAACTGGCACTAAATGTTAAATTAGAAGCAATAATATTTATTTCTTTACTGACAAGTCATAAGTGTACAATGTGTTAGGTACCTAGTATATGATTAAATGATTTTTGAATTTTTTTTGAATTAATATTAATGTATAAAAACCGTATCCTATAAAATTAAGAAAGTTTTGCCCCGGGTTCGCGTAATATGGTAATGGGGTAACTTTCGATTTAAGACAATAGGAATGCAGACATGTTGAAACAGACGCAAAATTGTGTCTGGGAGTAGGTTAGAGTACCTTTTATATGATTGTGTTGTACTTTACAGGCAAATTTTTTATACTTTTCTGTAATTCTTATAAGCGCTTCAAATTTCGATAGAAAGCGCAAGTCGAACTGTAAAGTACATTATCTAAGTTTTTGAAAACAGTTAAAAGTAAAGGTAATTTTAAATTATTTAATATATGTCTTTTGTGACATACACACAAATAAAAGAAAAATAAACATAACTATTGTAAAATATTGAAATATTTTTAATGGCAGCTCATTTGCTAAAAATATTAATATTAATAAGTTACAAAAATTGTCAAACAATATAGCGCGTCATTAAAAAAACATTCGATTTGCGTAATTCTTATTTTGTTTTTAAAATTCAAATTACATGTAATAATAGCCGAGTGGCCTTCACAAATCAATCTTTGACTCGATTGTTTTTTGTTTTAGCTATTTTTCAACCTATAACATTCCTGTTTTTGACACAGTTCAACTTTAGTGTTAATAGTGTCAATAATATTTAACGCCCTTACCCATAAAGCCGAAATTAAAATAATTTCATTCTTTCAATCTCTTATTCATTCCAATCATATCCCCAAGCATTGATCGGAACCCGAGGCAAAGAGGAACCCGGAAAGACTTGGAGCGAGGTGAAATACGAAGCACAAGACCGAACGCGATGTTAAGTCATGACATTAGGTCTTCTCTTTTAGTCAACTTGAGTTGACGCCGTAATGAAAAGAGATATGAGGGGGGCATAAAATAAGACTAATAATTACAGATAAAATGATATAGATACTATTAAAGATGTTGTATGCCAGTTTTCTAACACTATGTGGAACTAGCTGCCCACTGAAGTATTTCGGGAACCAATTCAATAAAAGAGCGTACCAATTCTTAAAAGGACGACAACGCACCAGCAACCCCGCTGGCATTGAGAGTGTCCATGAACGGTATCTTAACATTGGGTGAGCCGCCTGCCCGTTTTCCCCCTCTTAAAGTTAAAAACACAAATCTCTTTGCTATAAATAATTTCCATTTTACTCACCTAATATTTTGGTATTCCAAGAACTACGAATGTTTCACAAAGCAGAACTGCCGTAAACTAGGTTTCTATTCGTATTGAATTACTTATTAAAAGAATATTCTCTTATGTTAATTTTGGCATGTTATTTTTTATCTATGTCTGGTATTCATGTATTTACATAAAGAATACATAAACTATATGTGATAACGGATAAAAAAACATTTCCAGAACTACTTATCAAACTAGTAATTTCTTTAGTTAGAAATTGTAAGCAAAATTTGTAAATAGGTTTTCTTCGAAAAGTCATAATTAAAGTAAGTGGCGTGTCAGAACGCCATGGTCTGATTGGATCTCTTTAGAATAGAAATAGTTTTATCTCATGAAAAAGCCAGATTTTGGTTTACCATTTACATACTATAGATTTGTATTGACTTAGAGTCTTGGCACTGACTCTCAACTCCGAGGTGGTTACGATTTGTCAAAATACGCAAATCTATACTCGCTTGTACGGTGAAGGAAAGTATCTTGAGTGGTAATACCTCTCTCTCGTCTTTTAATTCATTTATCGTGTCACCTAATAATAATATTATTTACCCTATGATTCTTGTAATGCACGAATTTATATAGGTTTTTGTGTACATTATTTTAGGTCAATTGTTACTTCACACTTTTTTAACAGTTACGTATTACTCTTAACGCTTTTTAAGCTCAGATTGCCTGGAAGGGGTCGCTTATTAACAATCAAACCGTTCAGTCTTTAGAGTCATTTGTTTTTTTTTCCAATTGTGTAAATAAATATATGGTTAATGTTGTGGGTAATTTATGGTTACATTGACGATATTTATCGAATGAAAGATTTACATATATTTTACACGATATGACTGGTACGGTTAATTCGGTAATTATATAAATTATTAGCATTCCAATTTCATCCAAGTTACATCGGTGGAACATTAAAAATTACTTGAAATATACTTTCCGACTTCTACCAAATATGTACACAAAAATCGTTCAAGCCGTCCCCGAAGAGTGCAAGTAAAACACATTTTGCTGGTGCATGCCCACAACATGAAGACAATAACTGACCACATTGACAAATTATGCCACCACGCAGTCGCAAGTATAGATTTAGAGCATTAGATTTATATAAAGTAGGTCTTTGACGCCAGGCCGTCGCGATGTTTAACCGACGCATTTTTTATAAAAATTAAATAACGATTTATATGGAATGCTAATCGACACAATCTAGTTATTAATAAAAAAAACGATTTGGTTTAAATAGGTCATTTTACGTTTTAAACAATTTGTGGTTGGAAAGAAATTAGAATTATATAAACTTAATATCAGTGTTTCAAACGTTATAAGAGGATGTGGAAATAAATATAGTAAAATAAATCTTTGAACACACCAGGGTCGAGTTTATTCTTAAAGATAGGTTTTTGAATAGCTCATATAAAAAAAGATTTATAGGAATGCAATTAAAACGTCCCTACGTCCAGCCCAATCGCTGTAAGTCGAAAATTCTCATTTTCCGGTCACCGCTCCGTTGGGCGGGCGGCGCGTCTTGGGCAGAAATATGCGAGCGCCCGGGAGAAGTGCCCTTATCGGCACGAGTAAAAAGTAATGCGTTCAGCCTTTATGGCAGTTGCGAGACACGCTCTTTATTACCAAGGGCTGATTGGCTGGTGGTACACCGGGCGACCTACTGCTGAACTTTAGATAAGGTTTTATCCGACCTATCTGACTTATTTAGTACATGGTAGGACTGGGACTTTTGGATCAAATCTAATTAACACTATCACTGTTACTGATATATAAACTTAGTAGTATGAAGAAAAATATCTCTTTCTTTTGCAATTGATACACTCTAAA